TGTATATATATATTCTAAACATACTCAAAAATTAATAAATAGCACACACATAATGGAGTGAATTTGCACATGCACCAGATTGGCATATGAAGTGAACGAAGGTTTACTAGGCTAGGTAGATATTTTACATCTTTAGTGAATGATTCCAAGTAAACTTTTTTAATTGTCTGCTGTTTGTATACAATGAACTCTATATGTGATACTGTATATTAAATTACCCAGTGAACATAAGTACATTAAGAAATATTGTTTTCCTTGTAACACATTTAGTGGTTCAGTTTCTAGTAACTTTTGCCAATTAATATAAATTAATATAATTTTGCAAATTAATAAAAAATCTTCTTAAAGATGAGACAAATTCAAGTTTTGGACTGAATGCAAAACTTTAATTTTGCACTGCAGTGTTCAAGTAAAACAACATATATAAGAGAGAGGTATTGTAAATATAAAAACACCTTGAACTTTATGATGTGATACACAGATCAGTGAGATAAACTCTTGAGGAATATGTGCATTAGTGGCATTGGCAATTATGATTTGGTCTAATGAATTGCTGTATCTCATATTTATATCATCCCTTCTGTTGTTTTCAGATGAGAATTTCCCTTAGAGTGCTTGTTGGCAGAAATATCTAATTTAATTAAATGAATTGACTCTCGAGGGAGGCGTTGCTTTCAATCCAATTAGTTTCACCTTCTGCATCGCATAAATGAACACAGCTCTACAGTATATTGTACATAGAACATACCGGACCCCTGAATTCCTATATAGGATAGGACTCGGAAGACTCTAAATGCCCCAAATGTGGGTTTGAACCAGGTTCGTTGATACATCTGCTATGGCGATGCCCGAAGTTTAAACAATATTGGCAGAAAATAGTGGACGTAATAAATATAGCCTTTGGAGTTCATATTTCTAATAATCCATTGATATGTATTTTGGGTATTTTTGGATCTGTGAAGGTGGAATACTATATGAAGGTGGCTATAACTAGGGCATTGTTTGTGGCTCGGCGTAGTATAGCCTTTAGGTGGATTTCAGCAACGCCACCCTCCCTGGAGGAATGGAAGAAAGAACTAGATAAAGTGGTTGGATTTGAGGGAATTATGTTTAAACATAGAGGTAACATGGATAAATATAACAAAATGTGGGATAAGTGGTTTGAATATAGAAATGGTGTTTTGTATATAATGTCCCTTTTATCTGATACTGGTATTTTGAGGAGTAATGTGTTTTTAGGTAATATGGTATGATGAGAATTTGTTTGTTTTTGTTTAATGTATTGGTTTTTGTTTTTGTATTGTTGTTTTAATTATGTATTTATGTAAAAAATGTTTGTTATGTATTGTACTATTAAAAATTAAAAAAAGTATGGAATTAAAAAAAAATTGTAATATCGTTAAAAAAAAAGAAATTGACTCTAAAATTATTTTCTTGTGAAAAAACAAGAAGTATGCTTAAAGGTAGATTTATTTTTGTATTCAAAGTATGCCTTTATATTTTAATAAAGTAAGGTTTGGTTGAACACATGTAAAGTTTTTTTTCCTGTGTATGTTCTGTTGGTAAGATTTTACTTTACTGCCTGTCGTATAAACACAGCGGGAAGTAAAAGGAGAACTCTCTAAAGTAAGATAAAACTCTAAACAGTTGTCAGTGGAACAAGTGTCCCCACTGAAAGATCCCACCTATTTCTGTTGCAGTGACAACTAAAATTTTTAATTTACCACACTTTCATTCCAGGGGACAAAGGTCACCAAGAAAAATAGAAAAAGGCTAAAATATATACAGGTCTATTCACTAAGCTGCCGAAGGATCTAGCCGTAGCTTCGGCGGATCCT